AATTTAATTTAACATAGGAACTATTTAGTTATAACGTGATTTCCTTACCAAATTTACGGCTATGGAATGTAAAGAGAATTTTGAACCTGAAAGAGATTTTGCCAGGAATAACTGTAGAACTTGTGCTGCAATTGGTTGAAAGGTTGGAAGATTGGGTGTAGAACATGCCTGTTGGCAGGATAGAACCATTAGCAGAAGCTGACAAGAGGTAGGGTTGAAAAGTCAGTGAGGAAGAGTTCTTTAAATTTGTTTCATTTGAATTCTTGATGGTACAACAGGGTAGGAATGTAGGTTAGAAATGTTGAATTTGAAGATAAGTAAGCATAGTCAGAACTAGAGATGTTCATTAAGCCAGGATATTGATCCTTAGAGCATAAGGCACTGAGTATAGTCTGAATGTTTAGTGTCAGTATTTTGAATAATTTCTTTAGGAAAATTTCCCTTACTGGGACAAGTTAAAGATTGAATAGATATGGAAGCTATAAAAGCCTACCTATTTTTAAGACACAAAACACAGTTGTTATACTTCATGCCCAGGGATGTTTCCATCAGTTTTTCAGTGCTTTTGCATCCTTTTATCAACTGTTGTTTTTTGGGAGTAGTGGCTCTGTATTGAGTTGTAAAAGTTTCTGTGAATGATTTAGTCAAGTAATCATCATTTTAACATACTTTAATATGTAGACTTTTAGGCTCCAAGAATTACAGAAATGTTAAGAATTTTAGATCAGAATAAAATAACTGAACCATCACTACCTGACAAGAAATATATTTTGTATCACAAAAGTATTATCTCTATATATTGATTTTGTTTTTACCATGTAAACAGAAGTATATTGAACTTGCCATTTTCCTAAGAGCAAAATTTTTAGTAGCTAATGTGGCAAGAATTACATAATAGGCAGTCTGTCCATATTGGCTGTATAAATGGATAAAACACAAAATAGTATAGAACCAGGCTCTGGCATCAAGTTAAACTCTAAGGAAAGAAAAATAAAGGCATCAGTGAAATTTAAGAACCTTAAATACACACACAAAAGACACACACACACACACATACACACACTTCAGCCATAAGTAATTATGAAAAATGTGGCTTAATGAATTATAATAGTTAAGGAATTGAGTTTCCTGATTAAGCAGTGAGGAGGGGATGTGTTAAAATGATTGAGACTTTAGCAAGACTTCAGTGGAAATACCTCTTACCTGGGTTTAAGAATCTTTAAAATGCAAATTAAAATGATACTCATCTGTCTGTCCACCTACCTATCTATCTAAATGCAATATCGTTTCTAAAAAGAAATACTGACCCCATTCCATTTGTCAGGGAAAAGACAGACCTAAGCAGACTGAACCTAACTCAACTCTCTTACTACTAAAATGACTTAATGAGATATAAGACAAAAAATAAAGGTTATGTTTTGGCAAGAAAGAAAGGTCATTATGGTTCAATACTTTTACTTAACTCACCTTTAAGTGTGCAATTAACATTTAAAGGAGATAAAGTTTTTGGAGCCTTATAGTGTTTAAAAGTCTATGGTTTGTTAAGAGAAATTCTTTCTGATAACACTGACAGTTATCAGAAAATGAAATTGTGATTGCATAAAAGATGAAATAAAATGTTCTTGCATGGTGTTATATTTACTGCTTTCTCCTTTGTTGTTTTTCTACATGCTTGTCAACTTATTGACATTTTCTAGGATGAAACTTCCATGCTGACCCAGAATGTATCTTTTAAACACAGTCTCTGAAGTATGTGGAGGGAAAAAAATAAAAAAATGCTTGGTAGTAAGTAAGCAGCAGCAGGAAGAGAGAGCAATAGAAAGGCTTATGCTTTGAAACTTTACAGGAAACTCTTAGTGTATCACAATCTGTTGTATTAAAAAATATGGTTTCTAGTTTCAGCTGCTATGATTATAGTGGATGTATAAGGTGTCTGAACTATCAACTCACTTTTGCAATTTACTTAGAGAACAGAAGTAGTTGTGATGTAAATGAAGCACTAAATTCAAATCATTTTAATTTTTTAAAATACAGATTCCTTGTATAATTTGAAATTTACAATATCAGCTTGATTCATATCAGTTTGCCTGTGTTTTCCTAGCTCCTATGCAGCACTCCAGCTCTTTTTAGTCCTTATGTTACGTGTTTCTAGGGACCTCAGGGAATTGCTTGTACATTCTCCAAATGAATTTTGTCAGCTTCCATGTAGGAGCTGCAGGTAATTTTCTTAGTTTTCTTTTTGAACTCTTCCCTTTAGGATAACTGTGTCTGGTGAGGGGAAGAATTTCCCATGGGCCACAGCTGTTGTACTAAAGACTTACAGTTATCAAGGGTGTAGGGTATACAGTGGGGAAGTAGAGGTGCCTTCCTCTTTCCTTGTTGCTTTGTTTGTGTTAAAACCAAATCCAGGGCCTGATGCCTGCTATGCAAGCACTCAGCCACTGAGCTATGACCCAGCCCCTTTTCTTTTTTAATGTACGTAATTAGCCTCCAAATTACTACTCTTTGCATAGCTCTCAGCACTCAGGATTCCTACAGCACTCAGGATTTGGATCATGTTGGGGGATGAGAAGGCTTATCCTGGAGACACATTCAGGAAATAAATACAGTATACTGCACCCAGAATCAGCTCAACCCTTTCTAAATTTCAGGCTTTCTTATTGGACTTTGCCTGTTTACTTGCTACTGGCTTCCCTTACTTAAGAGAGTTCTCTCTAAGGCGGCCCCTTAGTCATCCACACAGGCTTCAGGCTGATTCCTAAGACTGGTTACATCAGTCTCAAGCTGTGCCTTGAACCTCAACATTTTTTTCACAATTTTCTCTATAGTTATGGTGTTGATGATTTAGGAGAAAAAAGATTGGAGGCAAGTGAATACTATGATATATCTCCTCTGTGTCTTCTTATCCTTTTCTCTTTAGAAATTTGTGGCAAGAATATATTATTACCTCAATTTTATAGTAGTTTACCATGCATAGGAAAAATTAAAATGTGTTTAAGCATTCAAAACAATGACGACTTTCATGTTCTATAAGTAGCAAACTCATTGAAACAAAAACTCATTGAAACAGTATGTTCTAAAATCATAATTTGTATGTGCCACACATTTGAAGGAGTGAGTTTTATTCCAATCATCATTTTGGAATAGGACCTATTAAGCACAGGCAGTTTCATAAGCTTATAACTTACTCATAGCAGAGGTAGAATATATCTAAACCCACTGAATTTGTTAAATATTTCCTAGAGTTAAACAGAGAAAGAAAAAATAAGCCACATCCCCCTGTTGGAGCCTACATTGAGAAGATGAGTTAACAGGTTATCTATAGCTAAAGTGCAATCAAATAACAAAATATCTCACATTCTGAGCTAAATTCTATTTTAAGTTCAATTCATTCTACAGTACTTATTTTCACAGTTAAAACTTTAAGAAAATTTAAAATATGCAGTTTTAAAATATGCTCAATTGAATTTTCATAATATTTATAATGTTCTCAATATGTATAATATAGTTTTATTGCAGTGAAAATTGAAAATCACTTCCAAAGTGAGCCTTTGTTTATCTTAACATACTGTACAAAAAACACAAGAAAGAAGCATTTTAAAAACTGAATAATTTCCATGCATCAAACATATTGTAGAAAAATGAAAATGATGCCTTCTAAATTACTTAAGTTTTATTTTACAAGACAAAATATTAAACAAAATGTGCATGTGTTTGATTTCATATATATA